TCTCTCTCTCTCTCTAAAATTTTTAAGTTGTTTATGTTTTAATGCAATTTTCAAGGTTTCATATAATACAAGTCTCTCAATGTATTTATTTGTTTTTAGAAAGTTATTAAATGGTGTAGTTGTAATATTTTAATAGTTTTTATTATTAAATTTATTAATGAATCTAAACAATTATAATTAATTATTATAAATTATAATATTAAGCCAAATTGAGAATTAAAATTTTTAAATTAATTTTAACAACTTTAAAAATCCGCTTTTATTAAATGTTGTGTTTTGAATAATTAACTATTATTAAATATAATAAGTTATTAATAACTTGTAAATAAGTTTAATTATAAAATTTTATTAAAAGTTTAAAAAACCAAGATGATTTAATACAAATTGTAAACATAATTAAAATCAATGGCAATTGAAATCACTTCACACACCTATAGCCAGATATGTGTGAACCAAACGCCTGTCCGGTGGACACAATCGGCGGACAACAACCCACTGAATGTAAGCCCGAGTGGCGACACATCATCGGCAACACCACCACCGGCTCCGCCACTGACCACAGATTGCAAGCAAAACACTGAACCAAAACGTGTTGACCAAACCAACCAAGTGGTGGCGGAGGAGACCGAGAACATGCTCAAACTAATACCATTTACCATCACCAACATTGTGTTGACCATATTTTCCATCGTGGTCTACGTCTGGGATGTCGGTAGCGATGTTAAGCTGGCGACCCATCATTATTTTAATAAACATTATTGGTATTATGCTAGTTTTAGTATCTAATATGAATTTATAAATAAAAAATGCATACCGTATTTACTGACATAATTCCGGCACAGGTATTGCGGGCTAACCCTGTTGTTCGTAGTATTGCCCTCATTGGTTATGGCGGTAATTACCCGGCGCTGGTATGAGTCAAAACAGCCACCAGTAACTACTTGTGAACGGCATACTCGTGCTGTATTTGTATGGCTACAATTGGGACCGGTTTACCGGTATATCGATATATTGACCGATGGTCTAAAATCAAGACAACAATCTAGGTCGTATGAAGAAAGGGTTGAACACAGTTTGCGGGTGTTTTACAAAAAGGCATACATGAGTCGCTTGAGTCTAATTGACTGCTTCATGGAGTCGGCCCCTCAGCTCGTGCTTCAACTTTATATTGTGGCTAAGGGTGACCCACAGTCGACCAATATATGGACAGGTATATACCCCACCCTTATTTTAATCATGGTACAATTAAGTCTAATAAGATTTATTATAGTGGTTATAACTTATAAGTATAATAATTTTGTGTAATTAATTTTAATTGTAATATTATTAGTGGTGTCAGTGTTGGGATCATTAGTAGCCCTGTCTATGGCACTGGTCAATGTTTCTCTCCAAGGTGACGTAATCAATAAGCAGGTATATGCATAATTATTACATATAATTACATTATGATAAAATACAATAACATGTATTTTTGTAACTTTAGTAGGAATTTATGGTGAAATTTATCTGGGACTTTTTCACGATAGCCGCCCGTGTATTAGCCTTAGCATTGTTTGCCAGCTTATTTCCATTTCACCTGGGTGTAGTTTTATGCGCCCATTGGCTTATAACGTTTGCCTGGGTCATTTGCGTTATACATAATAACAGTGAATTAAAACTGGATCAAATTTCATATAAAAATTCAGCATGGTTAGCCTACGTGCTTATATTTAGTTTCCACAATCCACGTGGTAAACTATCGGGTAAACGAATAATTTATTACACCATGGTGTTTATTGAGAATTGCATTTTAACGGCCTTTTGGTACACCCATTGTCTGGACGGTCGGTGGTATAAAATGATTGCATTTTTTGCACATTTTGTATGTTTTTTTCTCGGCATTTCTATTATGGTAAGCGATTGTGACAAATAGTGTATATTGCTGTATATTAATTAAATGCATTTATATTCTAGATTGTTTATTATCTAATTAAACAAGGTTGTTGTAATAAAGTCGTGCCGGTGGCCAATACAATAGACCGTGAGCTTAATATTGTGGCCAATATTGAAAATGCATAACTGACCGACAATTAGGTATAAATTAATGTACCCAAGGATCAAGGTAATAATTGATTAACATTTCTAGTAATACACATTTAGTTTATTTTTGCATTTAATTTTAATTATTCAACCCGCATTAAAACAGACACTCTATTATTTGCCAAGTGAATTATATAGCATAATTTATGTTGTACATTATATAAAAGTCTGGTATTTTTTCCTGGTTAATTGTAATTTAATTATAATCGCTACATTGTGATTCTGTAATAATAATGATGATATTTAGACTATTAGATATAACATGTAACTTGTTTAATGTACAACATATTAATTATTAAAGCACGTACTAAATTTATTAATTATGATGATGAAATTACATGACATTGATATTTCACACACGCAGAACGCATGAGAACCATCGGTTGTTATGGTAACAGTCATCCCTAACCCTTTCATACCAACACCTTATTTTCGAAAAGCGTATTACGTTAACTAAACGTTAATTACTCAAGTTAATTGTCATTTGATTATAATAGCTACATAATACAGTATACGCTACTGTATATTGTTTCAGTGATAATAATAAAACTAAATATCTGGACATCAAAACTAAATCAATGGCCGAAACAATCACTTCAGACACTGATAACCAGATATGTATGATTGAAATGCCTGACCGTAACAGACAGTCGGCGGACAATAACAGTCCGATTGAGACTACGAGTGGTGACACTAGTGGTACGATTGCCAGCACATCATCGCCACCACAGCCACCGAAGACATCGGCAAATAATAACGACGTGATTACTGTTGCGACGGCACCGGAAGTTAGCCATAAGTCTGAAGACGTCTATTTACTAAACCCCATATATTTAGTAAAAAAGTACGCCAGCTTCTCCCCAGCAAGCCTCACTATCTGGGAGTCACCTCTGCCTGACTATACGATATATACTAATTTATTTGTCGCACTATTTTCAATGGCCACGTTTTTCGCCGACATTTTTACCGACATTATGCTCGCCATTGATTATCATCGCAATCATGACTATTGGTATGCTGTTTATTTAACCTTGTATTCTCACTTTGTTTAAACAATAATATAATTAATAGTAACGCATATTAACTCTTTTAAATAATCCAAAAATTATAACTGTTTGAAATAATATAAAGTTTACAATAAATATTTTTATAATTTCTGTGCGAGATGCAACATGCCTTTTAAAATTTAATTGTATGGATTTGGATAACTTCCCGTTCCCCTACGTAGTAGTTAATAATGAGATGAGTTCATATTTTAATCACTAATAAATGCAACTATTGTTAGTCATTTTAGTTTTGTCAAAAATATTTTAATAATTTCTCAAAAAATTAATAAATTAATAGGCTAAGTAATTGGCTAATTTTTAGATTAACATTAACCCAAGAAGCTCAAACTGGGGGATTAGATTACAATTTTTACTTTGAATTTCAATTAAAAATCAACAAAAAGTGCTAGCCAAAAAACAATGTTCACACAGCGATTCTTCACGTTAACCACTATTCGGAAAATGTTTTAAATTTTTCAACACGATTGTTGGAATACTTTCACTATTGTTATTTTGAGAATTTTGAATATTTTTTACAAGAATTAGTTCTATTTATTATGTCAAATTCATGTAGTATATTTCCATAGAAAAAGCATTATCCCATTGAAATAACATTACTTTCATAGACTTAGCATTACCCATGCTATCCCTAAGCTATAGCTAGCCAACCTTTTTTAGTATATCACAAATACAGATTCACAGTATGCCATAAAAAGGTGGCGCAACGGTTTAGGTTTGTCAGTATTAAACGAGAAACACCACGTGAAGGTCAACCTAATAGTTTCGCACCCATTTTTATAGTGGTTGGCTTTTAGTCTATCCACAAAACGTTATTTAAAACAAAATTTAATTATAAAATATACAATTTAATGAGATGTCTGATATTGTTTGCGATTATCAACAATTTTATTAATATTTGACTCAATATTTGATGACCATATCTTCAAACGTGATCTCAATGTTTTTGCGGAAATACTACCAGTTTTATCATTTTTAATCGATTTCATTAATGAAAACAAGGATCACACGCGATGCTATGCGTTAACCACAATTC